GTATGTTATTGTTGCTGAGGATATCTAAAGAGGCGATTTCACTTGCACTAACAGGTTAAACGTCATAAAAACTTATCCAAACATTTGTGTATGTTCCTATCCCAATGTGTGTTGTAAGCATAATATGAATCCACTCTGAAAAGCAGGTCCCATTCATGCAACCCCAGATCAAAAGTAGCATGGAAACTCATTTCCAACATCCAAAAAGATCTTAAACACTCCGTAAAAAAAAGGAAGAGATAGAGGAGATCCAAAAGGAGGTTATAACTTGCACTTAGTGTAAATTATCCAAGCACTTAAGTGAGTTATTGATCCAAAACCAAATTCCAAAATAAGAAGGTACTACAAGTGTAAAATGAATGCAAGTTTGCATGTAAAAGAAACGTGGAATCATAGATCAACATCAATCATTTTTCGGATTCTTTGTTTTAATTCTTATTTTTGGTAAGTTCAACAACTTAGAAAGATACATCAATAATTTTTCGGATTCTTTGTTTTAATTCTCATTTTTGGTAAGTTCAACTTACAAAGATATGAATTGCTGCTATGGATTGTCTGATATTGAAAAAACGTGTATCGCCTCTTCCAAAACTAGTTTTGTCCCATTGCTAAAGCTTGAAAAATCCTAACGGGCCAGCATATTCAGGTCACATTTTAGGCCACGCTTCCTTATGTGTAGTATTTAGACAAATTTGACAAAACTAGATTCATCTTATTGCATTGAAATCCAGAATAGTACTCCCTCCGTTTCAATTTGTTTGTTCGGGGGATTACAGAAAGTAAAGAAGATTTTTTAATTTTGTGGTCTTAAGCTAAATATATGTAGAAAGTATCAAAATGTCTTTTAGGCATGGAAACTCAATTCCAACATAATGAAAACAAAACAAACAAAAAAAACCTTTACAAACTCAACACTAATCCACAAGAAATCAATAACCATGTCAAAATTCACAAACCAGTAAGCAAAATTTTTTTCTATCTCATGCTACCTAGGGGACATTCACCACGAACCTTCATAGATACCAGCTCAATTAAGAGAGCAATATGCTAAAATAGCCGAGGAGAGAACAAAATGAACAAAGTTTGAATCTTGACACTCGAAAAATTAACAGCATATTGCCCTAGTTACCAAATATTCAGAATAGAAAACTACGATACTTCATATGGCATTGAAATCTGGTAACAGTACGATAGTAACGCTACTCCCACTCAGTTCTCATGTAACCAAATATCAAAAATAGCATGAAAAAAAAAAAGAAACCTTTACAAACTCATCAATATTCCACAAGAAAACAATAACCATGTCAAAATCCACAAACCAGTAAGCAAAATTTTCTTTTTTCTATCTCACACTACCTAAGGGACATTCACAACAAACTCTCATAGATACCAGCTCAACTAAAGCACCCAAGGGCATATCCTAGTAATCAATGAAGCAGATGACAACCATGAGGTCTCACGTTCAAATCCCAGCAAAGACAAAAAACACTAGGTAATTTCTTTTCATCTATCCTTGCCTCGATGGACAAAGTCACCTCATACCTATTGTTGGTGGGCGTTGACAGGTATCCCATTGAATTAGTCAGGGTGCGCACCGGACACATACCAGCTCAACTAAACAGAAACAATACACTAAAACAGCTGAGAACAGAACAAAAAAGCACAAAGTTTGAATCTTGACACTCAAAATCAACAGAATACCCCAATATTAAACCACCAAACAAATTACCAAATCAGCAACTACAGAGAACTAAACAGTATGAAAATTAAACCCCACATCAAGTCAAATCAAGAACTCAAAACACACTAAGAAAAAGCTCATACCTTTACAAAAAAAAAGAGGCTTTGGGCTTAAAGGGTCTCTGCAACAATGAATTCAAGAAGAACACGTTTTACACAGTGCAGATTTGCGGTGAATTAAAAGTATAAATTTAACTGAATGAGTATAAAGATTTAGGGAAAAGAAAGAAAAAGGGTCCTAGGAATCAGGATGAATCGATTATAGAATCAAAATCCCCAGACCACGTAGCCTTAATCTAAGCCGTTTGTTTCCGAAAAGAGATAATTGTCAAAAACACACTTAAAAATATAATTTTTGTAACGAAACATATTTTTACTTAGTAATTTTTCATTTTTGTTACTTGAATGATAGTGATATTCAGGAGAGATAATTGTCAAAAACACACTTAAAAATATAATTTTTGTAACGAAACATATTTTTACTTATTAATTTTTCATTTTTGTTACTTGAATGATAGTGATATTCAGGCCCAAAAAAAGTGAATAATTAATAATTAAATTGTATTTTTGACAAGTCATTCATAATAACTTAAGTATAAACTCACACACATAAATCATAATAGTTTAAGTATGAAACTCAAAATATTGAGATAGTTTAAATGTGTTTTTCAGAAAGTAAAAAGTTTTCTTAGTAAAATATTTTTTAAGAAAATATGTGGAAAGATTGCAATTACAAAGATGAAGAAAATGAAGAGATTATTAATACATATATTTTTATTTTATACAAAATAATATATAAAACAAGATTTAATATAGATATAAATTAATATCATTAATCAAATATTACGTTGATTATATGGTGATTATTTTTCGTAATTTGATTAATCAAACATTATATTATCTTCTAATCTAACCACAATAAAACTACTCCTAAAAGTTAAGTTGTTTTCTTGAATGTATATATGTAACTTTTTCTTTATACTTTTTTGTACTTTGCCTAATTTTCGATATCTCATTAGTCTAATTAAATTTTATTTCATACATTTTTGGACGCCCCCACAAATTTTTTATTTTGTCAATATGCCCAATTTTTCATTTTCTTTTTCATCTTTCTCCATAAATTTTATTGTTGTCCTTTCTTTTCTTCTTTTGGCTTCCAAGCAAAGGGATAATTGATTGATTGTCCTTTTTTTTTCTAATTTACTATATGAAAATTTTGAATTTCATAATTAGGAAACATGTCACATGTCATAGTATATTCCTCTTCATTCTTTTTATTTATTTATTTATTTATTTATTAGACTTTGGGTTGTGAAAGTAAGGGATGGGCATTGCATTGGGTTGCAGGCTATAAAAAAAAATAAACTGAAAATTTTCTAAATTTAGAATATGATACTTATTTGACCATTTCTAGAATGCCCTATCAAACTGATTTTCATAATATTCATTGTTTTGTTGTATGGTGTAGTGGAAAATTTGAACTTGATTGATTTTGTCATCTTAATTTTCATAAGAAAAAGTTTGATTAATAAGACATACTTAACTAGTAATAATTGCAAAGCTAATAATAATAATAATGATGGTATGATAATAGTTGAATGTGATAGTTGATACTGATCGTGATAAAAAAGATGTCATAAATCCACCACCGCATTTATGCATCCATACTAATCATTATTTTTACATCCCACGGCTTCGATAAATTCCTCTATAACTCTAGATTCTACTATGGATGTATCGTAGATATTGAAATTTTACTAGGCAATAACGTTATAATTTGTTTATTGAAGTAATCTCAAATCTACAATAGAATTTTGTAATTCCAAGGGTAACGAAAATGATTTCTTTTCCTTTAATTAATTAGCTATTAATGAATGATTAGGGCATCTTATCTCTTATAAGTTAATTTTATGATTTCTTTTAGAGACAAATCGTCAAATTTTCTTGTATTTTTCAAAATTGAGCAGCTTCTCATGTGGTTAATAATTTGACCTAACGTTATTCTTACCATCAGAAAACGATCTCTTTTTTTTCCTTCGACACTCGATGAAGCTCCAACCTGAAAGGTAAACTTGCATGCACATTTTTCTCGAAGAATTTGGACACGTGTCATATCGTCCATTCATTTTACATTGAAACTCGATTGATGTCGATTTGATAATGGCATGAATGGACCAAAAGTAAAACATATGGCAAATGTAACGTTAAATAGTACAAAGACAAATTTGAAGTTTTTGTATTTTCCTGTTATTGGTTTTAACTTTAAGCAAATTCAAAATTTTATTACTGCATGGAGGAAAAAACAAAGGGTCTACTTTACATACTTTAAAAGATAATACATTATATTGTGGAATATTTGAATTCTGCATAGATTCTTTATATATTCTTTGAAAACTCTCACCTTGCGAAATAACTTTTGACATTGAAGTAAATGCAATAATGTCAATTTCCTAAGATGGTATTAGATTCAACACAACCTAATTATTGATTTATCAAAGTTTGGACACCTATGTTGTGTTATCTATGTTGACGGGCATAGGCGTGCAGGGATATGTTAAATTATACCACATTGATAGCACGTAGGATATTGGATCACCTTAAGTCTTTTGAACAACCCTCACCTCAGGCCTAGGCAGACAGGTGTTGAGTTGTCCCACATCGATGGCACTAAAACACCATACATAGTCTTTTGAACAACCCTCGCCTCAGACATAGGCATGAGGGTAGGTGTTGAGTTGTCCTACACCGGTGGCACTGGATCACCTTATATAGTCTTGAATAACTCTCACCTCAAACATGGGCATGCATGGAGACGTCGAGTTGTCCCACATAGATGGCACGTGGAACACTAGATCACCTTACAGAGTCTTTTAAAACAACCCTCGCCTCAAGCATGGGCATGCATGGAGGTGTCGAGTTGTCCCACATTGGTGGCACATGCATGGGATTGGATTACCTTATATAGTTTGAACAATCCGCACCCCAGGCCTGGGCAGGCAGGTAGGTGTCAAGTTGTTCCACATTGATGGCATGTGGAATACTAGATAGAACTACCCATACCTCGTAAGCTAACTTTTGAAATTAAGTTAAACCCGAGATCACTTCTTAAAAATCTCTATGAAAAGAAAAACAAAGTCAGAAATCAACCACTTGTTCCTAATCTATATCATGGACACATTCAATTCATGGACCACCTATAATTGCAACCAACAAACACTTCTTTGTCTCCCCCAACAACACAATGATGCAATCATACAATATGGTCCCCAGAACATAAAACCTCTAAAATTAAATGACTGTCTTGAGTGCATAGCACATCAGACACTTCCAATACACAGAAATCATGATGGATAAAGATTTGACTAAATGCAAGATATGTACAGTCCTTAGCAAGCTGACATATAAAGGATTATTGGAAACAGCCTCTCTTACCCCGCAGAGGTAAGGTTTGCGACATGTGGGATTACACTAGGTATGTTGTTGTTGTAGTAACATATTAAGGATCAAAAGGGTCCAAAGTAAGGAGGGAAATGATATCATTCAAGATTAATTCATTCCTCTGAATTTCCGAAAAAGAATCCGTAAACGTACATCCAGAACTCTTCTTTAGTCCAGTATCCCTCCAAGATGTGCACAAGTCGATACATATATCTCTCTCTTAAAGAGAGGAATCAAAGAAACAAAAATGGGAATGGAATAAGTTACTGCTTTGCACGGTGTGCTCTGTGATATCCTCTTCCACCGAAAACCCTGTGGTATCAATCACAGTAAGGGAGAAGCATTGGGGTTTATGACAATATGCTTGAGAGGGTGAGCAACATCGGTACCTCCAGCGTGCTTGACAAACTCGGCTGGTGAGTGAAAATTTCCATGACAGACGCACATAATTCTTACCTCCTCCCCTTTGCTGTACCTGTATAATATTCCGTCTACTCTTTTACCATTAGGACCATCTCCTTTCGTGAAAACGCATGGCATATTTTCTGATGTGTTTGTTCCAGTTTCCTTTGCCCGACTTTTTGCTGCCTCGAGCTTCTTAGATGGACTGTCCATATCACCTCCTGACATTCTGCTTCCGGTCTCTCTCATTTTTGACCCAGACAAACCAATATCTTGACTCCCCCCTCCTTGTAATGAGTGGATACTGGCCGGGCTTAGCTCGCCAGACCCTGCAGCCGGGGTTCATCATGGTTCTAAAATTATGGTGGAAATGATAAACAGAAGAATGATAAAAAGCAGATATCATATACATTGTGCATCTTTTCATTCTTCCCATTACACAGGACACTCCAAAAACATGTTAAGGTCATATGACCAACTACAAAAGTGATGGTAAAACCATAACACAACCTGAAAAATTATTACATACTATCGGACGATTACGGTGCTCAAAATTATTAACCACCACGAGATGATTACAGACAATCTAATTTAAAAAGGAACTTCTTCAACCAGATCAGATGATCTAATATTCTTTACAGACAATCTAATTTTTAATATCCACCATGTTGCCAATTTCAGGATGCATGAAAGAGGATTCAAATCTAGTCCATTAAGGAATAGGATGTAAGATACTGTATCTATCAAGAATCACTAACACCTCTATATAGGATTATCCAATTCTAGTAAACAATTTTTATCAAAGAAGTACAAGCCTAGAAGGTTAGTGTTTTACATCTTGCACACGACCAGAGGCAGCGGAACTATCCAAAAAGTGAACGAAAACAACTCATGAGGAATATGGATATTAGTTTTCAAACATGGAGATAGTGGCAGAGATGTGCGTGGACATTAGGGAGTAAAGAGCAATAAGCAAAAGGGGCATCCAACATAAACTCCTATTTAACAACAAAGGTCCATATCACATATGCATCAACTAGCTTGTCAAATTTACATCTATGGGGTATTCAAGAAATTGTGATACAGCGAGCCAAAGGAGCTGCATCAATAGCAGCAGACAAATCTCCCTCAACCCTAATCCATTCTATCACAAGGACCACAACCAAAAAGGTAAAGACGAGAGACAGAGACGATCTTGACTGCCCAATAGGTAATTCACAAAGAAGACTTTACTGAAAAGATTGTTGCTTACCAAAAGTAGCACGGATAGAGCAAGCATTTGAAACCATGACGTCTAAAATTCATCAGGCTTTAATCACACATGACTAACTCCTTGGGTGAGGAGAAGGAAAATATACCATCTAGAAAGATCTGTTAGTTTGATTAATTCTACCACTAAATCATTTGAGACTAGAACACTTTCAATTAGGTAGATATAAGTTGTTGAGAATGTAGAAAGCTCACGGGAAGTTGGCATCATATAAACCAACGTTGCTCAGGCTATTCAAAAAATGTCAATGGGTGTGTGTCAGATTCTCCAAAAGTAGCAGGTTTTTGGAGAATCCAACACAAGTGCAGCATCAAAGGTGAAGACTTTGCGCAACTTGGACATAGACATAGTGGTATTTATCCCAAGGTCTCTTTTATTTTATGATCCAAAAAAAAAAAGAACAAATGCTTTTGATTTAATTGTGCGAAGTAGCCTGCAAATAAATGATCTAGTTTGGTTTCCAAGTCTACAGCTAATAACGGTCCAGCTTCATTATCCTTGCTGTTTAATTGGAAGTAGTGAACTCTGGTTAATTATTTTGTGGAAAAGATATGAATCTCTAGTTTCTGTGAAAAGAATATCAGACTTTAGTCTTCATATAATACTTCCAAAAAGAAAATCACATAGCCAAATCAGCACTACCAGATGCTCCCAGGGATGCATTATAGTATTTATGAGTATTTTTAACGCACTAAGTTCACATCAAAGCAAGCATTTAAAAATTAAGGAGGTATTATACATCAGATAACTATTTTTCTCAAACGATTGCACCTGCAAATTTTTATCAGAGGCATTTTCCCATCTCTTTTTAGCTCCTGCATTTCTTCCTGCAATTGTCATGACTTCCTGATGTGGCAATAAAAGAAAATTCCCGAAGTCACCTAGATAACTTAATCAAACCAACAGCACAACTACAACACTTGACACTGACAATCAGTCAAGTACCTCCAAATAGTCAATATAGCATAACATTCTCGAGGTGCTAAAAGTAGAATACAACAATTTTAAGTCACGAATGTGGTGACAAGAGAAGGTTGTCTAATTAGTTATACAACCCCTTCACTTACAACCATTAGGATCAGGTTTGAGTTGCCAAGAGGAAATGGAAACTACTTTGGATTCCTTGAGGGGTGAAGGAGGGTTCTTTCAAAAATTCTTTTTTTTTATGGTGGTGACCAAGTTAAGCTTGCACGCACTTCTGACAAATACCGGCTAGCTCTTGAATAATGGTCTCCATGATTTTTGCCCGCTTCATTAACCACTAGGCCACACCCTAAGGCACAGCGAGGCTGGGGTTTAAAAAGAATCAAGAATGTGGTGAACGGCAATAAGACAGAAGACATGGACAAATACCATAGAAACTTGTAAACATTTAGGTGAGGGGACCTCAGCAGCAAGTTTTGACTAAATTTAGGAGATACATTCAACAACTCACAGAAACAAATTAAAAAACAGATGCCATATTTCTGGCAACAGATGACTCAACAGTAATCATTTATGACCAATGCTGAATAATAACATGTCTTTGAGCACCCCTCACTGCAACATGTGATAACCACTCCTTACCTTAGAAGGAAAATTTTCAATCCCAAAGTACTGATATAACTACAGTACTGTAATTTTCTAATTCAACTAGTGTCAACTCTCAAGAATTGAATTTAAAAAAGAGCACATACATAATGAATGTTAATATTGGCCAAGAAAAAAATTGTACCTTGTGGAAGTTTACTTTCCAATTCAGACATACTTGAAGAACTACCACCACCTTGGGATTCAACAGAACCTTGTGACCCCAATTTCCCATGTCCTTGCATTTTACCTCCTGAATAACTTCCTTTACCTTTCCCCATTGTCAAATCTATTCCACCTCCTGTTAAACTACCTTGCCTTGAAACGGCAGCCAACGTTGGCGATACCGATAAACCAAATCTTTTCGCAGATGCCAAGTACTGTTCTTTATCTAATCTACCTCTTAAATTCATCTCAATTTCCCTCTTTTCATCTTCCATACTCCCTCCCCCACCAACAACAGTACTTCCTCCTCCACCTTCTTTATCACCCCTCAAATTTCTCTGTTTCTCTGATCTCCTCCTCTTAGCTTCCATTCTTCTCAAAGTTTGCAACTCCTTTCTCTTCCTCCATTCTTCCTCAGTCTCCACAGGCAAAGAAGAAGTTCTCACTAAAGTAGGATAAGACACTGGTGGTGGTGCAAGAGTATCATCATCTCTCACTATAGGCAAGCAAGAAGCTACAGAAGAAGACCTTATCAACTTATTACTATTAGAAGATTTATCAACACCAAATCTACCTCCCAATGATAAACCAAGATTCAACTCTACTTCCCCTTCATCTTCTTCCTCCTTCACCTCCTTCCCTCCAGCAACAACAACCTCAACTCTAGATTTTCCTGAACTACTACTACTACTACCACCACCCCCCATGAATCTCTGCAACAAATCCCTTGAAAATCTATTTGTTTCCATAGAAAGATTTTCCATCTCAATTCTACTTTTCCTTTTCTCATCTGTATTATCTCCCATAGCAAACCATACACCCACCAAATATACTATCAAGAACACCAAACCAAAGTTAAAAAACTTACCTATTCTGACATGTACGTGCATGTTTAACACTTCCATGATCTGATTTAGCCACACCCAGATGGAAAAATCTAATCTTTAACTGCATATTAGCTCAAACAAACTCAAAGATTAAGTCTTTACACCCAAATTTTGCACTTTAAGAAATCCCAACTGGGAAAAAAAAAAGTAAATATCGCCGGAGTTGTTCCCGGAGAAAACAAAAGGGTGGCAGGAAAACCAAGAAAATGGTTAAAAATCCACCAAAAAGTAATAAAAATGTAATCTTTGCAAGAAAATGTTGTGTTCCGGCAAAAGGGTCGCCGGAAAATCAAGAAAATATGGCAATGAGAGGGTAGAGTAAAAGAATAATGAAATATACTAACAAATCAAACAAGACCCAGAAAGATAGAAGCAGGCAGGAAAGAAAGACTAAAGAAAAAAAAAAACTAGGAGGGGTGGGGGGTGGTTAAATGACCAAACTACCCTTGTGAATTGGGGGGTGGGGTGGGGGGACAAAGAAAGTACTGGGAAAGGACAAGTGTCAGAAGAAGAAAGACACGTGGGACTATGTGAATAGCTCCCTTTTTGGTAGTATCTTCTAACTATAATATGTTTTTTTGAGAGGTTAAATGTAGGAAATTTAGTATATGGTCATTCACACTTAAAAATCTTTACTATTTGAGTCCATCATGTTTGTATAGAGAGGAACACATTGTTTATTCACTAACATTGGAAATATTTTGCTTTTTTGAGAAAACCCCTTCTTATAGTTTTTCATATATATATACATTAAAAAATATGTACAAATAATGTAATTTTTCACTGAAAAATATTTGAATGAACCTTTCGACCTTATATGGCTCCACCCTTATGTGGGACTATACCAATTTGTGAGTAAAGAGTGGACATAAATTACTTAATCGAATCGAAATTTATTGTATTGTATTTGAAATAACCAAAATCAACCTTTAGAAATATCAAATTAAATATTGAACACTCATTCCTAATTAATTATTTATCATATATATAAATAACATTAACGAGTGAATTTGTGACTTAATTAACCTATGCTAACAAATTTATAATGTTAAAAACTTGATAATGAAGAACTAACTTTTATGATTTCTCTAAAAGCTAACATGTCATATATTGATTTTAAAAAATGTGTGATCCTTATAAAAAGTTATTTTAGAGATTTCTTAGGTTGAGTACAACAAATCAATGTAAAACGTATAAAAAATGATAATGAAAAAAATATAGCAACTTATAAGGAAATAATAACAACATCAAAATTGTGCAATAGACAAAGCATTATACAAGAATTAGACTAATACTACGATAGACATCATTAAGTCTAGACTCGTCAAATAATTAAACAACAAGACTTTATTTACTAACATTTACCCTAATACACAATTTTCACACCCTACTATCTATCGTCATTCATCAATTGTTTATATACATTAAATCAATCTTTTCTAAAACAAATATAAAATCAAAATCAAAATTACTGAGTTCCGCTAAAACCGTACCATTAACATCTCACTTTCAAGGAGTAAATGTGACACATCACAAGTAGGAGGGGGACCTTTGCAAACAAGTAGGGAACATGAGAGCTATGGTGAGGAGTACAACAGAAGAAGAGAGAAAATAAATCTAAATTTTTTCTAAGACACGTGTCAACAAAAGAACAAATCTAGAAAACATGACACGTGTCAAGTTTGTTTAGGAGACAGCGATTTGCCACGTGGATGGTACCATCAGCCTCGTAAAGCTGAGACATCGTCATTAATATTATTTAAAAAAAAAAAAAAAACTTAATAATTATTAATTGAATCTTTATGATGATTAATAATTAATCACACTTAGCTGTCAATAAAGAAGAAAGGGAAAAGTAGGGAGCTGTGCTTTTGGATTAGTTTAAATTAATTATTTAATTAAATTAAAATAATGAGTATTTTAATTGTAATTAAGGCTTACAAAGGACACGTGGGTGATAAGCTTTTATAACTTTGGATTTTAGTGTTTCTTTGGTCAAATTTGGGATATAATAAGTTATGATAAATTAGTCCAAATTAGTATTCTTTAAAATAAATGGACCCAAAACAATAAGAATGTGGTTGAACTTTATATACATTAATAATAACATAATCAACAATTTGATGCAGAATATTTCACATAAATCACGTTTAATTTCAATTTAGATTTTGTATTGTGAAAAATTATCACAAATCAACTAGTTTATTGCATAAGAGAAAACATGCAACAATTATAAAGAAAGAGTATTGACACAATTAAGGACTATTTATGGTGAGGAAAAAAATAAATATTATGTTTTTAATTAGAAATTTTGAGTTTGGAGCTCTTAAAATAAGAAAATATATCATAGGGAATATTTTTCTAATGAGAGTTACATGTATGATATGAAGCTGAATTAATTAATTAATTCTGAAATAGACATCAAACATCAAGCGAAAATAAATAAAATGAGTATTGACAAGTTACGATAAGGATCACCAATAAAATTATGAAATTATGATAAAATCGCTAGAATCTCTCTATTTTTATAGAATTCTTACATGAGATTCATTCTCAATAAAAAAGGCTCCAATATGAGTATCGATCATTAACGTATGTATGAATTGGTTTGTTTTGGTGACTATATGTATGGTAGTGCAAGTTAGGTGGCCAAAGGGTGTTGACTATGGTCAATAGTACCATTGATGAAGTCAACGAGTAATTGGCCGGCGAGGCAAAAGAAGAATCGGCGAGGAATTGGGTAATGGAGCACGTGGTCCCCAAGTTGTGTATATATTATTATTGTAGGTGGGGCCCACACAAGGCATTTTTGAATTTTGTTAAACGTGGCAATCTTTAACGTGTCGATATATAGTTTTTTATGCTTTATTAATTAATTTATTTTTTTGAATTTTGGAATTTTAGACGACAATATATTCCGTGAAATTCATAAGTGGGGTTTGGAGAGAATAAAATATATGTAGACCTTATCACTATTTTGTGGAGTTATAAGGATTGTTTTCGAAAGACCTAAGCTCAAGTACAACAATTTTCAATATACAAAAGAAGATAACAGTGACAGAGACATAACGACTAATAAGTGAGTGCAATATGTGAAACCTAGTAAACATATGATGATATATATCGAAAACTAAAACTACAAGAATATAGTTAGTTCAATAATAAACTCTAACAAGCAAGGAAACACTTTACTATCTGTAACTTTCTACTCTGATACACGATCTCCACACCATCTTATCTAATTAAGTAGAGTCAATGGAGTGAGGTCCGAGATAATATGCTAGGACACGTTATAAGTGATTTGAACAAAACTTTATTCATTAAAAAATTATTAGGAATCAAATTTAGCCAAATTATAGTGTTAACAAACTAATTAAGGAAAGGGTTAATAATGACGTTTGTGATGAGACGAATGAGATTTCTATTCTTAATTAGCGTCTCAAATTTGAGACTTGAATATTGAAAGATCTATTAAGGAGTATTTCCTCCTTAAATGATCATTATATCCTAATGAATTAGAACTCCAACAAAAATAACGAATATTGAATAAAGTACCTCAAATCAATAGAAAATGGCAAAAAAATGCCCTCTAACCTTATTGAAACACTCTATTTTGATCGTTTAATAAAAATTTCAACCTCTCAAAGTATCGAACATTTGAATTGTAGTGAAAAAGTAGAGTGGGGTCCAAGATCATCATTAGGATGATATGCAAGGACACGTAAGTGATTTGAACTAAACTTTTGTTCATTAAAAATGATTAGGAATCAAATTTAGCCAAACATTTCAAATCTTAATGAATACTTTATTCATAAAAATAGTATATATTTTGAGTTAGAGAATAGTAGGTATTGGATTATGTTATGTGATGCTAACATAATACATATAATATTGAGAATAAACTTTTTTCAGTACTATGTAGCAAACTAATAATAATAATATTTGTGCCAATAAAGAGGAATAAAGTGATAAAGTATGATTTTGTTTAAATTTGTTAAGTTAGGGGAGATTTATATAGGTATCTTTTAAAGTTTTTGTATATTCTAATAATCTTAAATTTACTTATCTATCTTCTTTTTTAACATCTTACTTAATACAGAATTCACTAATTGAAGGATTGAAAAATGATTTTTAAAAAATTAATGCAAGAAATGATCCCCCCCCCCACCCCCGCCCTTTTCCCCCATTATATTAAACATTTTACAATAGATAATTCGATTTATCAAACCTATCACAAAACTGATGGTGATTGGCCCGTGCTGAGCCCGAACTCAATATTCTAATAGTAAAACCAAAAAGTTAATGAAGATTTATATTTTCAAACTTTGATCGTGAACTCCGATGTAAAAATTTTATATTTCATGAGATATAATTTATATAAAAAAATTACATACAAATTACTATAAAACACAATAATTTTACAACTTAAATAATTTAAAATACATAAAAAATGTTTCAATAAAAATTCATCAACTCTTAAAATTTCAACTGTATCACATAAATTAGGACAAAAAAATATGCATATAACAATTAAGGTATTTGTCACTAAAATAAACATTATTTTATTATAAAAAGACATGAAAACATTTTATTTATCAAAATTTACAAGATAATTTTTTTGTAATGAAAATAAAGGACAAAATATAAGCTGCAAAAGTAGAATTCCACGTGGCATTTACCGGCAATGCAGAAGGGACATAAGGGTAAGCAAGTACATAAAGGGTAAATCGCATTTGACGAGTGCGAATTATGTGTAAAATACGTACAACTTACAGAGGATATGATCCTAAATAAAATGATATAAAATTTGATAATTAGGGTAGAACGTTAATAGTAGGTGATCGAAAATTGTTTAGTTTTTATTGTAGTTTTCGATTTTATAATTACCTGTTATTTTTTTTTATTTCGTTTATCATAGTAAGCGCTTTTTTTTTATCTACTATTTTCTACTCTCTTCATTTTGGTTTCTTTGTCTGATTTTAATTTGCACGAATTTTTAGAAACTAAAAAAAAATTGAATCTTATGGTCTTAAATTATATACAAAGTATGATTTAATTTTGGAGTCTTAAATATGTGATTTTTTAAAAAGTTGTTAAAAAGGGGAAAATGATCTTTCTTAAACAAACTAAAAGAAAATAAGACAAGCAAATTGAAACAAAGAGAATACATAATTTTTTTTGCTATTTTTTTTCATACTTGATTTTAATATGTTTTACTTGACTCGAGGATCTTAGAGAAAATGATATTATTGGTTATTTGTTGTTCAGGAAAAAAATGTCTTAATAAATTTTTATTTTTAAATTTTATATTCGTGAACTCTTATTTAACCACATAAATATAAAATATTTA